AAGAAGAAGAAGAAGAAGAAGAAGAAGAAGAAGAAGAAGAAGAAGAAATGGAGGAGGAAGAGGAAGAGGACGAGGAGGAGAAGAAATGGAGGAGGCGGAGAAGAAGAAGAAGAAATGGAGGGGAGGAGGAGGAGGTGAAGAAGAAGAAATGGAGGAGGAGAAGGAGAAGGAGAAGAAGAAATGGAGAAGGAGGAGGAGGAGAAGCAGGAGGAGGAGGAGGAGGAGGAGAAGTAGTAATAGTAGTAGTAGAGGAGGAGGAGGAGGAGGAGAAGGAGGAGAAAAGGTGAACAAGAACGAGAACGAGAACAAGGAGATTTCCTTTGTAATAAAGGAGGAACAGGAATAAATAATGTCTAAGGATGGGTTGGGCCATGGTTCCAAAGGGGAGGACAAAGAGTGAGACACTTACATTGGGTCTGAATTCACTGGATGGAGGACAACTTGAGGTGGTCTTGTGGGCACCTCTGGCACAACATCTGGAAAGAAAAAGAAAATCCTGTTCGGAAAAGGCGTGAGCGATGGGACGCTCTCAGAAGGACCCTCAAGAAGGTGATCAAACCATTGTCCAAATGCTGGGTGCTGTGTCTCACAAAGCCAAGAGTAGCGTTGCCAGTTGAGACTAATCAACCCTGCCCTGGGAAAAAGCATTTTTTAAATGAAATGGGCACCGTTCCATTCCCCCGGAGAATCATCGCCTCTGAGTGGAGCTACGTTGGGAAATGTGTAGAAAGGGGAAGCAGAATCAAATGGCATCTCCAGGGAAGGCAACCTGGACGTGGGAAATTTTCAGAACAATTGTCTGTGTTTTCATTCAACGACTCCAGAGAGACCAGCAGCCTCGTTGTCGAATGCTATCACAGATAATTTCCCCACCGGCTATTTCCCAGTATCTTCTCGAGTCCCCCAACCATTTGTTCTGCCCAAATTATAATAACCAGGATGGGTTTTTAATATCACTTCAGCAATGGCTGGGTGTGTTAGGGGGACAGTTATAAAACACGAATGGGGAAATTATTTTAGGGAGAAGGCCTGCCGCAAAATGTAGCGCCCGTCGTCATCGGCGCCTTGGGTGCAGTCCCAAAATACCACCGGCATTGACACAAAAATCCCCATCGGTCAATTGCAAAAGGCAGCTCGATTCGGAATGGCTGACATCCTGCGATGAGACCTTTCATCTTATGAAGACAACATCTGCCTGCCTCAGGTCCTTGGGAAGGGCTCGATAGGTCGATAAAAATGCCAAATCCAGTCTAAAATGTCTGTCTGGCTGCGCAACCAACCATAAGAGTCCTCATAACCAGAACATAACCTGCTCCAGATGCTCCCCGTCACTCCTTTCCCGTATTCCAACTATTTCTTCCTTCCTTCCTTTTTCTTTTTTCTGGAGTTGATGAGACACAGCTTGCCAAGGTGATTGGCAGAAACCTAAACCGAACACCATGCTCAGAGAGTTTCTCTTTAACAAGGTTTATTGAGGCGAGGAGGAAGGGATTTACAAGAATTCCAGCAACGGCTCTGTTTTGCATGGATAACCCACCTATTCCCTGGGTAAAAAGGTAAAGGTTCCCCTTGCACATATGTGCCAGTTGTTCCCGACTCTAGGGGGCGGTGTTCATCTCCGTTTCAAAGCTGAAGAGCCAGTGCTGTCCGAAGACGTCTCCGTGGTCATGTGGCCGGCATGACTCAACACCAAAGGCGCATGGAATGCTGTTCCCTTCCCACCAAAGGTGGTCCCTATTTTTCTACTTGCATTTTTGACCTGCTTTCGAACTGCTAGGTTGGCAGAAGCTGGGACAAGTCACGGGAGCTCACCCCGTTATGCGACACTAGGGATTCGAACCGCTGAACTGCCGACCTTTCGATCGGCAAGCTCAGCATCTTAGCCACTGAGCCACCGCGTCTCCTGGCTACATGCAGGTAAAAACTTTCTGAATTTCTAGCAGATCTTCTGGTTAGAACTACTCTTGCCATTGTCGGTAGATTACTTACCTGGAAAAATGAATTGCTGCTTGTACTTGTAGTAGTGAGAAGCTGGAAGAGTGAAAACACATAGATTAGGAGGAATCAGAGATTAGCAGGGCTTCCATTCTGAATAGAACATAGAATTAAAGAGTCTGGAAGAGACCTCAGAGATAATTTAACAACTGGTTCTCTGTCCTAATGACCAGCTGGTAGGCATGGCTCATGGGGAGTCATGTGACCGTGTGGGCGTGGCCAACTCAATATCGCTCACGTCGATGGGCCTTAGCTGTTACAATGTAGTAAGGGTTAACCAGAGAGGCAGTTTCTGTAAGCAGGGCAATAAAGATTAGGCTAGAAACACCACCAGAATGTTTCCTTCCTGCCTTCCTTACAGGATTAGCCCTGTAAAGTGGGGAAAAAACCAAAATAAGATTTCTTCCAACAACCGGTTCTCCAAACTGCTTAGAAAGTTAACAACCGGTTCTCCCGAATAGGTGCGAACCAGGGGTGAAATCTACTTACCTCCCCTACTGGTTCAGAAATGCACGCGTCGTGCGTCATGTGCATGTGCCGACCCTCTGCACATGCACAAACCCTTCTGCACATGCGCAGAGGGTAAAAAACAGGTTACTTCGTGGTTAAAACCAGGAAGTAATGACGACCGGGCGGGTAGGCGGAGCCTCGAGCTGCCATCGCTACCGGTTCTCCGAACCGGTCCAAGCCAGGAGCATTTCACCCCTGCTGCGAACTGGCTGAATCCCACCACTGCCTATGGTGTAAGGTTACATATGGTATAAAGTTAGGCAATTTCTCCTGACTTCTACGTTGGAAAAAAAGGGGCTCATCCTTGGTGAATTTCATGTCTGTGTCTTCCTAAATGTTTGCCAGGACCCAGGGGTGAGCTCCTGAATTGAACTGGCTCGCTAAAAAAACTGGGCCAAATGCTTAATTGTTTTTATCGATGCAAACTGGCAGAGTTTAGCTCCAGCAAATTGCTCAGTGGACATCTGGAATAACCCTCCAACTGGACAGCTGCTTGCAAATATTTCTGCATATTTTTCTATTTATGCAAACATTTCTGCATATATTTCTGCATATATATATATATATATATATGAAAAAGCTCACTGTAAGCAAAACCCAAAGATTTCGAGAACAGCAAAATTCCATCTGTTCGGTTCAGCCATTTTGGAGTCTAGTTCCTTGAACATTTTAACAGGATTGCTGTTAAATTCCAACCCCCAGCTCACTCTGAGGCATCAGAAGGACCCGGATTGGTGAAAAACATACTAGATCAGGGATGTTAAACTTGTGGTGTGCAGGCCGAATGCGTCGTCATACGCTGTCCACGCCCACCCCCCGTTTAGCGAAGGAGAAAAATATTGCGATACATCACGTAACAACAATGTGGCACCGCAAGTTTGATACTCCTGTACTAGATCCTAGGCATCAGGTCTGAAAGACCAGCTCCACATCTGAAAGTCCAATTAAACTGATTTCTTGCTACCTCTACATATGAATCTTCTCAATGAATGGTTAGCACCCGTTTGGAGTTAGATAAGGATCAATGGAATTGAAGAGAAGTTGGACTGAGTTCCCTTGTGGCTACGTAGTGATTCCAGGCTGGTGCCCCTTTTCACTCTGCCCCCAAATGCTGCCACTCCTTCCCTTAGACTAGGATCGCTGGCAGGAGCTGGCTGCTGCACCTAATAGTGACTGAATGATTACTGAATATGTCTCATTTACCTGGCAAATTGAACTGTTTTTGTTGCCGCGTGCACTGCGGGGAGGGGTGCAAGGGCGAAGGCGGCGTGGCGCTGGGTGGCAGGGGGGGAGCTGGTGAAGAAGGGGTGGACGACGTCGTCGAGGAGGGATTGCTGCTGGAATCAGGCTGGTAGGGCACTGGAATGTGATCCTACGAGAGAAGGAAGAACAGTCGGGTGAGCACTTAACAAGCAGGCCTGAAGGTCTCCAGTTTGGGCTTCCCCAGAAGATCTATGTCAACTTGCAAAGCATCCCTGGCCTGCTCTCGAATTGCCATAGGCAAGTGGGATGGGAAAATGGTGGAGCAACATGGCAGCCAAAAACAAAAGCACATTCCAGACATATCTCACTCAAGGCTGTCTCCCAGGGTTACCCACAGAAGCCGGAGGGGAGTGATCTCTACAACCCGCGAAATTGCTCCGTTGGCAAATGTGACTGATGACACACCTTGGGGGGAGGAGGGAAACAGGGTCAAGATTGGGTTGTAAATTATGTGGGGTCAGAGTTGGCTTCACTTGGAACGTGCCAACATGAAGCTCCTAATAAATAATTGGATTTCTTTTGAAGCTGGGCTCGAAGCTCATGATTTAATTAGGGCATCCATCAGAACCCTGACAATCTACACGTAGCCCTCAACTTATGACCTCAGTTGGGATCAAAAATTGCATCACTAAGGAAGGTGGCTGTTCTCTAACGGAAAGTGTTGTGGCTTGCCAGTAGAGCTGGCAGCAGAATCGGACAGTGAGGAGGTTGGGGAGGAACAATTGGCTAGTCCTGGGGGCTGGGGAAAGCTCGGACGAGGGCTCTGTGTCGGAGGCAGAGAGGGAGCTAGACAGCAGCGAGGCAGAGGAACAGCTGGAGCCTGTTCCCAGTGTGTGCATGCGCAGAGCTGCCAGAAGACAAGATCAACTCAGAAAGCAGGGTCGACTTGGGAGTAAAGCCACACCTTGGAGGTGATTGGCCCCTCCCATAGGAAACAAAAGAGGAGCGAACAGGGAGGGGGCTTTTGCAGGAAACAATTCGGGTGGGCGGTTGGTTGTTTCAAGAGTGGGAAGTTCTGTTCATGACTCTAAGGGACTCTGCACCAAGTTTTACCTTACTCTGCGTTTGGAAACAAGTTACGTGGCAGCTTGCCAAGCGAGATAAGGTTTGTGTTGATAAATATTCCTTTGAAAAACTGTTCGGACAAGCCTTGCTGACTTGTGAATGAAAGGAATTCACAGTCGTGTAAATAAAAGAGGTTTTGTCGGGACCAAAACTCTGCTTCCTGCTTTTTAAGGGAGTCTAGGTCAGAACAGAAGGCTAAACGGGTGGGAGCAGTTCTCACTTCCGGTTGTAGGATGTTCCACAGTGCTGGAGCCACAGCAGAAAAGGCTCTTTTCCTTGACCCTGGCCGGTCAGAATTATGTGGCCGACAGGGTCTGCAGAGGACCCCTTCGGCTGGAAGACGTGAGGCGGGCTAGTGCTAAGTTTTTAATTCATTGAGCATTGAATAAAATCACCAGGCAAACTAACAGGTTATTGACCCCAGATTGATCGGATCTCATTGGCAAGTGTTCTCCTTTATTAACCACCTTGCCTCTGTAGCTGGGGTGTAATATAAGGCCAAGACCTGTCATCTTCCCCCTTTCAAAAGGTTCCCATTCTGAGGCTGGTTTTATATTTTATTCATTGAACTTTAGTGTAGAAGCTTTATTCATTCTCATTCCAGCTGCTGAGGATGCTGGCATTAACTTTTTATTGGGACTGCTCACCTCCTGGAAGGAGTTTTGAGTGCGGATTTTCCAGCTCTGTGTGAGCCTTTCTACAAAAAGTCTCCAAAGCAAAATGCAAAAGAGAGAGGGGGGAAAATAAAGAGGGAGAGAGAGAAAGAGAGAGAAAGAGGGGGGGACAGAAAGAGAGAAAAAGAGAGGGAAAGAGAGAGAAAGAGAAAGTGGGAGAGGGAGAGAGAGAAAGAGAGAGAGAGGCAGGGAGAAAAAACAGAGAGAGAGAGAAAGAGAGGGAGGGAGGGAGAAAAAACAGAAAGAGAAAGAGAAAAAATAGAGAGAAAGAGAGAGAGGAGAGAGAGGAAAGGGAGAGGAAGAGAGAGAGACACAGGGAGAAAAAACAGAAAGAGAAACTTAGAGAGAGAGAGGGAGAAAAAACAGAAAGAGAAACTTAGAGAGAGAGAGAGAGAGAAAGAGAGGGAGGGAGAAAAAACAGAAAGAGAAAAAGAAAAAATAGAGAAAAAAGGGAGAGGGAGAGAGAGTCGGAAACGGATAGGCATTAGGATTTCTTTAACTAGCTAGGAGGCTGCCCAGTTCCCAGCACATCTTGCCCATAGACTGAGAAATTCTCACCACGTGTTTGGATAGTAAAACCACCACCTGGTGCTTCCTGGTAGTACAGCTACACCTGGGCTACCTGGGCAGCTGGGAGACATGGGAAGATCTTCGGGGTGGAGAAAAAGGAGGCAGGGAAAGCCCATTGTGTCCCCCCTGGAGGATCCAGCTTGGCTCCAGTGATTCCCCCATCCATCGTTCCTCACGGGCCGTTTAACTTAAAAGGGGCAAGCGAGGGCATTTTGCGATAAGGGTGCGACAGACGGGAGCTTCGCGCCAGGCTGCACATCCTGAACGCGGCTCTCCGAACGCTACCGCCTGCCAACTGTCTGATAACGCCGTGGTGAAGAAGAGTTCCTAGCGCTGGCAAAGAGTGCCTAGGAGTTGGAAGAAGGCGAGGGGAACTTCAAATTAATTAGAGGGGTGGGGGGATACCTTAAGGCAAGTCTCCATCTGTATATATCTGTCTTCTCTTAACAGAGCAGTTCCTGCTTATTCACTTGCCCTCTTTCACCAAACTTTGGAGTCGGCAGAGAGAAAGAGAGAGAGGGGCTTTCTGGGGTTCCACCTTGAAGCACCCAGATGTCAGAGTAATCAAAGAGGAAGCTTAAGAATCATAGAGCCTTGGTAGTACAGGGGTTTAAGGCACCCTGTTATTAAGCTTATTAAGACCAGATGCCTGCAATTACTGCAGGGTTCGAATCTCGCCAAGGCTCAAGGTTGATTCAGCCTTCCATCCTTTCTAGGGTAGGTGAAATGAGGACCCAGTTTGTGGGGGCAATAAGCTGACTTTGTATAAATATATACAAAAATGATGAAGGCTATTGCTGAGCACATTGTAAGCCGCCCTACGTCTTCGGAGAAGGGCGGCATATAAATCAAATTAAAATAAAAAATAAATAAAAAAATAGAATCATAGGGCTGGAAGTGACCTTGGAGGTCTTCTTCTAGAAAACCCCCTTCCCAAGGCAGGAGTCCTTATACCACTGATGGAGATCAAAGTTCTCCATTATCCAACAAGACCAAGCAGGTCTTGTTACTGACTCCTGAAGTCTTCATCCAATGAGATCTCGTTTATATTCCAGACTAGAACTCAGCGTCTCCTGGTGATTGGCCCAAAGTCACTCAGACAGCTTTCATGCCTAGGGTGGGACTAGAACTCAGCGTCTCCTGGTGATTGGTCCAAAATCACCTAGCTGGCTTTCATGCATATAGTGGAACTAGAACTCACAGTCTCCTGGTGACTGGCCCAAAGCCACCCAGCTGTCTTTCACACCTAAGGCAGTACTAGAATTCACTATCTGTTGGTTATCACTTTAAAGCGCTCCATGGCATAGGACCTAGTTATCTTCGAGACCGCCTGCTGCTACCGACGGCCTCCCAGCGACCCGTGCGCTCCCACAGAGAGGGCCTCCTCGGGGTGCCATCAGCCAAACAATGTAGGCTGGTGACCCCCAGGGGGAGGGCCTTCTCTGTGGGGGCACCCACCCTCTGGAATCAGCTGCCCCCAGAGATAAGGAGAATCCAAGACCTCATTGCCTTCCACCGTGCCCTTAAAACCTTCTCTTTCCAGCTAGCCGGGGCTGGCCTAACACTTTTTAAAATGTTTTTTTATTGTTTTTAATTGTTTGTTATTGGGGCCAAATTTATATATATCTTTTTAATTGTATTTTAATGTTTGTAGTTTTGCCTTTACTTGGCTGTTCACTGCCCTGAGTCCTCAGGGAGAAGGGCGGTATACAAATTTAAAAATAAATAAATAAATAAATAAAATCTCTGGTGATTGGCCCAAAATCACCCAGCCAGTTTTCATGCCTAAAATCAACCTAGATTTGCCATCCCTGGCCTTTTTCAATTATATGCAAACATGCCTAAAAACGACCACGTTTCCCAACGTTTTGCAATTATGCCACTACAACACATAAGATGCCTTGATTGTACATACCTACGTAATTTGGCCCCCACCCCTTTATCCTGCCATCGAGAGACACACATCAAAATCAAATAAAGCTTTTTTTGCAACCCGTCTCTTCCAAGCAGCCTCTCTCTTCCTGCCCTGTCTCTGAGAAGCAGGAAACAACTTTAAAACAATGCAAAGGCTACTCTTTTGTTCCATTTAAAAAATGATGGATGAGAATCTAGATTGCAGCCTAAACCACAAGAGTCCGCAGATTGTTTTGGGGTTGTTGGTGGTTTTTTTGCCACAGGAGAAGCACAGGGACTTCCTGGAAAATGACAGAGACCAGGTGACCGGTGCACATATACAGAGCCTTGGTAGCACAGTGGACTAAAGCACTGTTATTAACATCTGCTGCTTGCAATTACTGCAAGTTCAAATCCCACCACGCTCAAGGTTGACTCAGCCTTCCATCCTTTCAAAGGTAGGTAAAATGAAGACCCAGATTGTGGGGGCAATAAGCTGACTTTGTATAAATATACAAAAGTATGAAGGCTATTGCTTAGCGCATTGTAAGCCACCCTGAGTCTCCGGAGAAGGGCGGCATATAAATTAAAAAAAAAAAAGCTCGCCGGAAAACCAGAAGCTCAGCTTCCCAGCACACACATGCGTGCCGGGGAGCTGCTCTTCTGGTTTCTGGTGTTCCCCCACGCGTGTGCACTCCCATTTCGGCACTGTGCCGAAAAGTATCGCCAACACTGGTCTAGTGGTTACGGCACCAGTCTAGAAAGTGGGAGACTGTAAGTTCTAGTACTGCCTGAAACCATGAAAGCTGCCTGGTGACTTTGGGCCAAAGTCTACTGCCAGCTCCTGGATTGGAGCTGAAAGGCGAAAGGGATGCAGTATGCTCCCTCCCACATGCTGGGATAGACCAGGTGCCTCGATAGAATAACACTTAATCTCTCTCCCCTGGCTCAAACTGATGAAGGGAGGAGAACTTGTGGCTCAGAGGTTAATACAACCGCCTAACATGCAAGCAGCCCAAGTTTGAATCCAAGTAAGGGTATGGCTAGCTGATGAGAGCTAAATAGCTTGAAATAGATCTATACTAGTCTCCCTTTATTTCTTTATCAGCGAAATATAAATTTGATATAAATTTATATATATTTATAAATTTGATATATATATATTTGAGATATATATTTGAGATGTTTGATATATATATATTTTGAGATGTTTTTCCTCTAGCCAGGTTTTTCCTACGTAACCAAGGTTTTTCTGCAGCCCTAGCTCAGTAGAATCACATCCACTCGATTCTGGGCTTTTTTTCTTTCTGGCAGCCAGCAAGTTCTTGCTGCCAGGTGAGAGACTTATATAGATCTATTTCTGGCTCGTTAGCCATCATCAGTAAGCCACACCCACATCTCATGTATCCTCCCTGTAAAGGTACAGTGTGTGTGTGTGTGTGTGTGTGTGTGTGTGTGTGTGTGTGTGTGTATGTATGTATGTATGTATATATATAAATTTGGCCGGACTTTTAATAACCTGACGAAATGACAACCATTTTCCAACTAGTTCAGGTGCTTTCTTAGGAACTTGCTGGCAGAGAAGCAGTGTTCTGAATCAAACTTTGGCATCCCTTAATGGTTTAGTTCCGCGGTGGCTGCTGGCTGACCCCAACCTCAGCACAATTGGCCAGCTGCCCTGTTCCTCTCCCGTCACAGCTCTACGATCAAGAGCCACAAGCCGTTTTTGCAAAGAAAAGGAAGGGCCTTTTCATGCCTTAAGATTTAAAACAGGATCTTAATTCGGTCAAGTCGCTGTAAGCGCTTGTTTGGTGCCAATGTTTGTTTCTCCCTCTCGCTTCTTTGTGCTCAATTCGAGCCATTGCGGAAGAGTGTTCATAACAGACGGAAAGAGCCAATTGTAGTTGATGCTACGAACCTTGGCTTAAACAAAAGTTGGCTTCGCAAAGTTGTGAAGCACCTCAGCATCTTGAATGGCAGAGAAAGGAATCAACGTACTATATTCTTCTGTATTAGGCACACTTCAAACACCAAGAATACACTAAGGCAGAAGTTTGTCCACCTCAAGGATAAAACGCCCAGACACAAACTGAGCAGTGTGGTATATATGCAGTACAATGCAGTGAGCCATGTCCAGATCTGTACATTGGGGAAACAAAACAACCACTTCATAAACGCATGGCGCAACATAGGAGAACAAACCCACGAGGACAAGATTCGGCAGTCCGTCTGCATTTAAAAGACAAAGGCCGCTCTTTCGAAGACAGCAAAGTCCACGTTTTGGACAGAGAGGACTGTTGGTTTGAAAGAGGGGTCAAAGAGGTCATCTATGTCAAAATTGAACAGCCCTCTCTCAACAGAGGGGGAGGGATACGACATCATCTATCTCCGGTCTACAACACAATAGTTCCAAGAAGGCTCCACACCCAGTTGCACTACTCAGGTGACCCTGAGGAGACAGACAAACCTCCAAGTGGCCTCAACGACTCTCTCAAAGGATGCAAATGACCAACTGTCTGCAAGGAGTATAAATCCTTCCATTCCCCACTTTGTCCAGCCAAAGCTAAAGAATTGGATGAGAAGCGAAATGTCTTCCAAGGAAAACAAGAAAGTCCAGTTGGCTCTTGAAATAAAGCAACTTTGGGATTCTTCCACATTGCAAAAAAACAAACAAACAAACAAACCTCACAATCCCTACAAAATTTATACAAGAAACAGGATTTGCTAAATGGGTAGTTTCTGACTTAAGACAACAATTGGGGCCAGAATTTCCATCGCTAAGCAAAGTGGTTGTTGCGTGGGTTGCACCCACTTTTACAAGCTTTCTTAAGCAAATCATTGCAGCTGTTAAGTGAATTGTCTGCTTGTTAAGTGAATCCGGCTTCCCCCCCACTGACTTGGCTTGTCGGAAGCCAACCGTGGCAGGTTGCCAATGCCGATGGCCTGACCCTGGTATGCCACAATCATCATCATAAATAAACCGCTGGTTACCAAGCACCTGAATTTGAATTGCATGACTGCTGGAATGCTAAGACAGCTGTTGTAAGAATGGTTGTAAGCCGAGGACTGCCTGTAATATATTTTCTATTCTGTCATGTTCATCAGTTCTCTAGATTTGGTTGTAAAGAATGGTTGTAAGCCGAAGACTGGTTGTAAGAATAGTTGTAAGCCGAGGACTGCCTATAATATATTTTCTATTCTGTCATGTTCATCAGTTCTCTAGATTTGGATGTCAGAATGGTTGTAAACCAAGGACTGCCTGTAATATATATTCTATTCTGTCCTGTTCATCAGTTCTCTAGATTTGGTTGTAAGAATGGTTGTAAGCCGAGGACTGCCCATAATATATTTTCTATTCTGTCCTGTTCATCAGTTCTCTAGATTTGGATGTCAGAATGGTTGTAAACCAAGGACTGCCTGTAATATATATTCTATTCTGTCCTGTTCATCAGTTCTCTAGATTTGGTTGTAAGAATAGTTGTAAACCGAGGACTGCCTATAATATATTTCCTATTCTGTCATGTTCATCAGTTCTCTAAATTTGGATGTTAGAATGGTTGTAAACCAAGGACTGCCTGTAATATATTTTCTATTCTGTCCTGTTCATCAGTTCTCTAGATTTGGTTGTAAGAATGGTTGTAAGCCGAGGACTGCCCATAATATATTTTCTATTCTGTCCTGTTCATCAGTTCTCTAAATTTGGTTGTAAAATTGGTTGTAAGCCGAGGACTGCCCATAATATATTTTCTATTCTGTCCTGTTCATCAGTTCTCTAGATTTGGTTGTAAAGAATGGTTGTAAGCCGAAGACTGGTTGTAAGAATGGTTGTAAGCTGAGGACTGCCCATAATATATTTTCTATTCTGTCCTGTTCATCAGTTCTCTAGATTTTGAGACAGGTCCTTTCTATCAATTCCCTGCAGTCATAACAGGAGCGAACAATAAACATCCTTATTCTCAATCCACATTCTGTATCTACTGCTTTCTAAATTGGGAAAGAAGTTAAGAATCCCTTTCAGTCCCTAACTGCACTACCTGTAAGACTAAATTAGAAAGCAACCCCAGGGTCGTGTGACTTTTGTAACATCTCACCTTGTTGATTTTGTTGGTTTTGGGAAGCGTCTGGCTGATGTGCAGATCTGAATATCTGGGGGGCTTCCGCAATGGATTGTTGATATCACATGGCACAGATTCTGTCCGGACTAATCTTGCTGAATCAAAAACAAAAGAGAGAAAGAAAGAAAGAGAAAAGGCTGGAGAAGAGGAAAATCAAAATAAAGAAAGAGGCGGAGCAAAACCTTTGGCGATCTGTTATTTTATCCGCTTATTGAACCAATAAAATGTTTAGCGTAATCTGGTAATCAAAGGATTCGGTTGAAAATTAGAAACGTGACTGTAGTGGCTCTTACCTCCACGGTGGATGATCAGCAGGTGACACGGTGGGGCCTCTTTGGTACATTTGTTGTGGCACTTTAGCCTAGGAGGAATCAAGCAGAAAAAACATCTGGTTTGAGGCTCGGCTCATGGGAAGTGGGACTTCAGAAATAGTTCAGGCTGGATTATTGCTAGAGGTGGTATTCAGCCGGTTCTCGCGAACCGGTAGCGGAAATTTTGAGTAGTTCGGAGAACCGGAAAATACCACTTCTGGCGGGCTCCACCCCCTGATCTATTCGCTGCCTCCCAAGTCCCAGCTGATTGGCTGGGTCTTCTTTTGTTGCCATGTACAGGAGAATGGAGCTGGAAAACAGGTTAATGGGGTGGGGAGGGAATGGAGATTTTACAGCATCCTTCCCCTGGAGTGGGGTGGGAATGGAGATTTTGCAGTAGCCGTCCCCTGCCATGCCCACCAAGTCACGCCACGCCCACCAAGCCACACCCACAGAACCGGTAGTAAAAAAAAATTGAATCCCAGCACTGATTACTGCCCTTCCGGAAGAAGTGCAATGGGGTTTCTTTGAATGTATGAATGTATGTATGTAGGTAGGTAGGTAGACAGGTATTTATTTATTTATCTATCTATCTATCTATCTATCTATCTATCTATCTATCTATCTATCTTATATCCCGCCTTTGTTATTTTTTTTTTACAATTCAAGGGAAAGAACACACCTGATACTATTTCCTCCTCCTATTTTCCCCACCATGACAATCCTGTGAAGCGGGGTTAGGCGGAGAGAGAGGGACTGGCCCAAAGTCACCGAGCCACTTTTCATGCCTAAGTCTGGACTAGAACTCCCAGTCTCCTGGTAATTGGCCCAAAGTCACCCAGCTGTCTTTCACACCTAAGGCGGGGCTAGGATTCATTGTCTCTTGGTGATTGGCTCAAAGTCACCCAGCTGGCTTCCATGCCTAAGGCGGGACTAAAACTCATTATCTCCTGGTGATTGGCCCAAAGTCACACAGCTGTCTTTCACGCCTAAGGTGGGGCTAGGATTCATTGTCTCCTGGTGATTGGTCCAAAGTGGCCCCGCTAACTTTTACACATAAGGCGGGACTAGAACTCACTATCTCCCAGTTCCTAGCCTGGTGCTTTAACCACTAGAGCAAACTGGTTGTCTACAAAATTATAGGACGACAAAGACTTCCAAATCAAGCTGGCTGATTGTGCAAAATCAGCACTTCCAGCTCTCTGAGGCCCAGCCTTGACAAATATTGGTGAAAAAAACCCCTTATTTTAGACTCCTTATGAACGGGAGTTGCAGGGAGATATATAGGAAGGGCCAGATGTCTGCAGCAAAGGAAAGCAGAACCCAGCCACAACAGTTCGGTATATTAGGTGTCTGGGGAATGCACACACGACAAAAAAGGAGACGTACTTGCAGTTTTTACATTTCAGCCCAAACAACATTCCTTTCCCACAGACGGTGCATGTCTGAGACATCCAATACTTTGTGGAAAACCTGGAGAGAGAAAATGAAAGAGAGAGAGACAGAGAGAGAGAGAGAAAGAGAGAGAGAGAGTGAAATAGAAAAAGAGAGAGGGGGGGAAGAGGAAGAGAGAGAAAGAGAGAGGGGGAGAGGAAAAGAGAAAGAAGAGAAAATGAAAGAGAATGTGTGAAAGAGAATGTGTGAAAGAGAAAGAGAGAAGAAGAGGGAGGGAGAGACAGGGGGAGAGAAAGAGAAAAAGAAAAAGTATGAAAGAGAAAGAGAGAAAGAGCAAAAAAGAGAGAGAGAGAGAAAGAGAGAGGGAGGGAGGGAGGGAGAGAAATGAAAGAGAAAGAAAGAGAGAGGGGGGAGAGAGAGAGGGAGGGAGAGCAAAAGAAAGAGAAAGAAAAAGAGACAGAGAGAGAGTGAAATAGAAAGGGAGTGGGAGAGGAAGAGAAAGAGAGAGGAAGAGAGAGGGGGAGAGGAAGAGAGAAAGAAGAGAAAATAAAAGAGAAAGAGAGAATGTGTGAAAGAGAAAGAGAGAGAAGAGGAGAGAGGAAGAGAGAGGGAGAGAAAGTGAGAAAGAAAAAGTGAAAGAGAAAGAGAGAGAAAGAAAGAGAGAGAAAGAGAGGAAGCGGTAGGGAGGGACAGGGGGAGAGAAAGAGAAAGAAAAAAAGTGAAAGAAAAAGTGTGAAAGAAAGAGAGAAAGAGCAAGAAAGAGAGAGAGGGAGAGAGAGAAAGAGAGAGGGAGGGAGGGAGGGAGAGAGAGGGAGAGAGAGAGGTTGGCCTCAGTTAAGCCTATAAAAGCTTTCTCTTCTCCAAATGAGAGCATTTCTCACTGAATAAATCTTCCATGATTTCTGCAGTCTTAGTTCTCCCAGGCACCTGAGTCCGAATTACTTATTGATTTCTGCCGTAGCAAGCCAATACAAATCAATTGCAACTCGCTTGCTCTTAGTAGTTAAACGCAAGTGAGATTTTTTTTAATATTTTTTTTGAGCGAGTCAAACCAACTATATACCCACCGAGGCGAAGAGGGCAGTTGAGAACTTTCAAAACCCCCAAACCGACAAAATATAAGGTGGTGTGAAATTCCGTTTCGACGCAGAGCACGCTAGCGTCCTTGAACGACTCCATCACCTGGAGTAACTCTTTATGCATACGTGTTCTCACGGTGGTTATTAAGGGATTGGAGTATTGTTTGATTTCCCTGTCCCCAAGTATCCATAGCTACCGGTAACAATGGTGCATAGAAAGCTGAAGAATGAGTGATATATTTGAGGGCCCACAAGGTGGATATAAACAGCTACCCTTGCATCCATTATATCGTAAAATAAAATAACTATCTCTGCCAGCACTCTGCAGATTCTTCCTTTATATATATATATATATATTTGTTATACCTGTGTTTGATTGAGTTTCCAAGATCCCGTCTAGGAATTTGGGGGGACCAGCGAGGTACTGAGAGTGTATCTGGAGACAGAGGAGGAAGACAAGAAGAATGCAATGAATAAAGGGAGAAAAAAATGGCTTTCTCTTCAGCCATAAGGAGGATCCGGTTAATTAGGGGTTAATGTTAGTTTACTTTATTGTCAACGCACCTCGTACAACGAAATTAAATGCCATCTTCAATGTAAAGTAAAGGTAAAGGTTCCCCTCGCACATATGTGCTAGGCGTTCCCGACTCTAAGGGGTGGTGCTCATCTCTGTTTCAAAGCCGAAGAGCCAGCGCTGTCCGAAGACGTCTCCGTGGTCATGTGGCCGGAATGACTCAATGCCAAAGGCGCACGGAACGCTGTTCCCTTCCCACCAAAGGTGGTCCCTATTTTTCTACTTGCATTTTATTTAATGTGCTTTCGAACTGCTCGGTGGCAGAAGCTGGGACAAGTCACGGGAGCTCACCCCAATTACGCGGCACTAGGGATTCGAACCGCTGAACTGCCGACCTTTCGATCGACAAGCTCAGCATCTTAGCCACTGAGCCACCGCGTCCCTCTCGTCAGTGTACATTATACATAAACAATAAAACAAAAACTACCCATCCTTCGCATTCTATACAATTGAATTGAAAACCCCGATATTGCATTAATATTGCACTATACCGTAGAATTCGATATGGTTACTGCCCTGCGATAGAAGCTGTTTTTCAGCCTATTTGTCCTTGTTTTTATTGTCCTGTACCGTCTGCCAGATGGTAATAGTTCAAAAAAAAAAAAGGGTGCCCAGGGTGAGATGAATCTTTAAGAATGTTTTGAACTTTCTTAAGGCAGCGGGCGCTATAAAAGCTCTTCCAATGAGGGGAGAGGGTAACCAATGATCCTCTGGGCAATGACGTTGACCCTCTGGAGCGCTGTCCTATCTGCCACTGTGCAATTGGCAAACCAGACACAGGTGCGGTAAGTGATAGATACTATCAGTTTTCTGGACTCCTTTTGGAACTTAATATGTTTACAAGGCAGGTTTTTTTCCCAGGATTTTCATTTCTTTTTCCCAGTCCAACTGCTGAATTCCGATCTCGCCTACCAACAGAAAGTGACATTTTCAGGTTTATTATATAGGCTTTCCCTACTGACCAATATTTCCTAAAGATACCTGCGTTTGCATGTAGAGTCCTTGGTGCTTCCTGAGCTTGGTTGTTTCATTGCAGATGTTTTGCTACTGTTGTGGTCCGCCAGCAGCCTGTGGAGCTGGCAGCGGAGTCGGACAGTGAGGAGACTGGGGAGGACAATGGGCCAGTCTTGGAGTCCCAGATGAGGGCTCTGCGTCGGAGGCAGAGATGGGGCCAGGGCCATCTGGGAGCAATACGCGGACTCCGGAGCCTCCAGAGACGGATAGCAGAGAGGCAGAGGAACAGGAGGAGCCTGTTCCTAGTGCACGCATGCAAAGAGCTGCCAGAAGGCAGGAGCAGCTAAAGCAAAAAGGACAACTCAGGAGTAAGACCAGGAGATGATTGGCCACTCCCATGAGGCTTAAAAGAGCAGCAAAGGCTCTTGGGATCTTTATAGGAAACCAACGTTGCTACATTCGTTTCTTGTCGGCATCTCTTGCTTCTGAACTTTTGCCAAGAAAAGCCTTTGGCAGGGTGTAAAAATCCAAGAAAAGAAAAGTTTCAGAAGAAAACAGAACATTTAATTCGACTACATATGCTAGTTTGTGGCCGCTCAAGAAATAGTCAGGGACAGGAAGGGTTTTGTGGCTCCCGGTGTTTTCTTTTCTGTGGGAAAAGGGTCCAAATGGCTCTTTGAGTGTTTAAGGTTGCAGACCCCTGATTTAGAAGATATTCTGGGCTTGGAGGGGCATGAAACCATGCAGGGGGCTGGATAACGTTTCTCTATGGCTAACGTGAACTAGCACCGAAGCGTTGGGCTTTTCAAATTCGGCTGCTCTCTGGAGGCATCTTAAATCTTACCTAATTTCTCCTGAGCCACTCTGGGGGTGGTGATGGTTAGGGTTTCACTCTCCGATCTATCCATATTTAGGCAGGACTTGGACATATACAAAGGAATCGCTGGGGGAAAAAAATGTGAAAGGAGGGAGGCGCCATTGCATCCTTTCCCCAAGAGAGACCCAAGGGAGAAAAATCTCTTTTCCTGCTGTGCTGCGGTTTGAACATTGCTGGGTTTGGAGTCGTTGTGACTGCTATATTCTTTTTAATTCTCCCATCAAAACACATGCACGCATGCACGCACCTCTGGCTCTCCAGATGCTTGACATTTCCTCCTCTCTTCTCCCCTCTCCACGGCCCGCCCAGCTCTGCTTCTGACCCACCAGAACGAAGCCTTCTCCGAAGGCTTTGCAAATGACTGTTTGCAAGAATAAATACTCTGGCTTGCCTCGAAGAGCAAATTAAAAGAAAGCTGCCAACCGTTGCAACCAGGAGTCCGTTTATATTTCTCTTTTTAAGCCGAGGGGCCCACGGGGGCCCCGCTGGAAATTTCGGAGATATTATATATATGTACGTATGTATACCTGGACTGCTGGAATTTGACCATCTGTAAGCACCGAGCAGGCAGGCAGGTAGCTTTAGACCCTGAGGGTTTTTCTATATACATCAGTCAATCTTTGAGCCCTCGGGCTCCGGAGAAGCAAATTTTATAGCATTTTATCTTAGAGGCTTTGAATGCCGAGGTTGGCTTTCGTTATCCCAGCTTGGCTATAAAGGCAGGTGAAGGTGTGTGTGTGTTTTTAATTACATGCCATTTTTGGAAGGTTACATTTGCATCTGATTTCCTGTGTGGTGATAAAGCTCCCTTTGCTGCGTAAGAAAGCATAACTTAGAGGCACGGTTGATTTTACGGGGCGAAGAAAAGGGGGAAAAAATATATATTGCCGAGAGCTAGGGACCAAATGCAGTCAGCCCTTCGATTCCAATCCGGGAGGAAGTGATAAGCAGAACATTTCCAAATTCATCCCATGCTTGCTCCAGAAAAGTAAAGTCCTACACTTAGGTAAGAAAAAACCAAAAGCACACATATAAACTGGGTGAAACCAGGCTTAATAGCAGTGACCGTGAGAGGGATCTTGGAGTCTTAGTGGACAACCAGCTAAATATGAGCCAGCAGTGGCAGCCAAAAAAGCCAACGCAACCCTAAATCGCATTAACAGAGGGATACAATCAAGATCAAGGGAGGTACTAATACCACTCTATAAAGCCTTAGTAAGACCATACTTAGAATCATACATCCAGTTTTGGTCACCACACTGTAAAAAAAGATGTTGAGACTCTAGAAAGAGTGCAGAGAAGAGCAACCAGGATGATGAGGGGACTGGAGGCTAAAACATACGATGAACGGTTGCAGGAACTGGGCATGGCTGGTCTAGTGAAGAGAAGGACCAGGGGAGACAGGATAGCATCTTCCAATATTTGAGGGGCTGCCACAGAGAGGAGGAAGGGGGTCAAGCTATTCTCCAAAGCACCCGAAGGCCAGACAAGGAATAATGGATGGAAACTGAACAAGGAGAGATTCAACCTGGAAATAGGGAGACATTTTTTGACAATGAAAGCAATCAACCAATGGAACAGGTTGCAATGGAAGGTCACAAAAGGGGATCGTGTGACTCCGGGATGCTCCAACCGTCACAAATATGAAGCAGTTGCCAAGCGTCTGAATTTTCATCACATGACCATGGGGATGTTGCAATGGTTGTAAGTTTGAGAATCCGTTGAAAAACGGTTGTAAGTTTGAAAAACGGTCGTAAGTCCCCTTTTTTCTGTGCTGCTATAACTTTGAACGGTCACTAAATGAACTGTCGTAAGTCGAGGTCTACCTGTGGTTCAGCAATACTGATGGGAGTTCTGCCCCAGCTACGGACCCCAAAGAATGCACACAAACTCTATACAAAGCTTATTTACTCAAAATAACCTTAATAAACTGTCTTAACAGCCTACCAGAATTCTAAGATAAGGTAATCACAGTCTTACTAGAGTTGGCAGAAAGCCCAGAAGCAGTTTTGCAGAGACGAAAGAGAGTGAACTAAAGTTGTTCCCTATAACTTGCTGCAATTGGTGTTCCTCCTTAAATAGGCTAAGGGAGTGGCCAATTAGCCCCAAGCCTTATTCTTGAGGAGACCTCCTCCTGAGGAGCCACTCCTGCCTTTTGGCAGCTCTGTGCGCCCATGCATTGAGAAGAGGCTCCTCCTCTTCTTCCTCTTCACTTATGGGAGCTTCTGGAGGTTCTGAAGGCCCTGGCTGAATCCCCGCCTCTGGCACCACATCTTCTCCAGCCTCCTCATTGTCTGACTCGAGCGCCAGCTGCACCACACCAGTGTCCTCATTGTCAGAATCGGCTATAATGCACAGGCCGCTGACGGGCCACAACAGATGGGCCAAACACTCTCACCTGGTTCTGGCCTCTTATGGTGCTCAGCTCGACCCTTAGGATTTCTACCTGCACTTTATTCCAGTCTCTTCTTTCTTTCTTTCTTTCTTTCTTTCTTTCTTTCTTTCTTTCTTTCTTTCTTTCTTTCTTTCCTTCCTTCCTTCCTTCCTTCCTTCCTTCCTTCTTTCTTTCTTTTTTTCTTTCTTTTATTCAATTGATCTGCCACCCACCTCAACCATTCTAGGTGGGACTCCTAGTCTGGGGTCCAAAATCTTGCGCCTGCCTCCTTTGAGGAATTAGCATTTCAACAATCAGGCATTAAATCAAAGTCCTCTGTCCAAGAGCCCTGGAAAGCAGCTGATTTATACCGCTCATGATCTGGTCTGGATGAGCCGAGAGGCATCACTTTATTTTCAGAAATGCCATTTGCTCATCCCTAAATCAACTTACCCAAACGAGCTGCCCTCTCCTCTTTCCCTCCCTCCCTCTTTCTCTCCCTCCCTTTCTTTCTCTCCCTCTTACTCTCTGTCCCTCCCTCTCCTTCTCCCCCTCTTTTTCTCCCTCCCTCCCTCCCTCTCTTTCTCTCTCCCTCCCTTTCTCTCCCTTTCTTTCTCTCCCTTACTCTCTATCCCTCCCTCTCCCTCTCCCCCTCTC